CCCCCCCCCGCCGTTGTATCGGACTGTCATGACTGTCAGGTTTGTTTGAGATTTTTTTGTCGCAAGACCCCACCCAACAGTGGAGCCGAGACAGAGATCTGGGGGTCATGTAGAATTATTGTTGTGTTGCTTTGAGCTGAGCACAATGCGCGTTCACTTGCCCCTTGTGCTCACTCGTCATCATCACCACCAAAGTAAACCTGGTCTTGGGGTCAACCACACAGTAGTAACGACAATTTCTTTTTATCGCTTCGTTCCGAGACACACCGAGAGCTGCAACGGCACTCGAAGAGCATAGCGCCTCTCTCTACTTACTTGTAGGCTGCACAACACACAGCCTGCGGATAGATGTAGAGCTTTCTTTGCAGCCGGCCACCACTCACTGTCCGCAACCAACCGCACATATATATATATATATATATGGGCTACATATATCCCCAAGGATATTTTCTTTTGTATCTGTGTGTCTGTCTTTCTAGAGGTCTGTTGGGCACCTGACAAAAAATCGTCCATTCGACACTGCAGTGTACACAGTAGTAGTCTACTCCTAATAGTTATACAGACAGCGTTCACAAATTCTGTGACGTCTGGATAGATGGATTGTTGGTATTATGATTGCTGACTGAGTGTCGGTCTACTCGTGTGTGTGTCCGGAAAATCTGCTCTCCATCCAGGTACCACACACACACACTCACTCAATTCTACTGTATGAATGTCCAGGGCGGTGGGGTGCGCACCAACCCATCATCAGCCCGGAAATCCGCAGACCGACACAGAATAGACAGATAGATGATGACGATATGGATCCCCAACGGTAATCGAGCGTCTCATGTTCGTTGCCTCCCAATTATTGTTGCGAGAAGAACATGGAGGATAATGATTGATGATGATGTTGTTGCACAACGAACGATGAACGCTCGGAGAGAAGGAGGTGGTATGTGGTACGGACCACTTGGATTGACATGCCGTGTGCGTGCGTGTGGTACGCCGCGCCTCTTGTGCCCTTTCCCTCGCGCATCGCATACTACATCCATCGATCCGCTGTGCATGTTTCAATCCGTCGCGGAGTAATATACTGCTGTGCTTTTGTCTCGTTCGTTGACATGATGACACTCTCATTTCTCCTCTCTCTCACGCAAGAGGTTCGAAAATGATGAATATGAATGCATGTACGTGGCAAGTGTAGATAAACATGCACTACGCTGTACTTTCAAGCACTTCCGATAGAAGTACGGCGGGCTGTCGCATCATCAATCGATAGCGGCACGCCTTCCTCTTGGCACTACATACACTGCCGTAGGTTATCTGATCCATCTGATCAGATGCAAACCAGAAAAACAACAACAGCAACAGAGACACATACGATGTAGATGAGCCGCGTATGTTGTGGGGCCCTTATTTGTAGCATGCATACCGGCATCCCACATGGCATCAAATACTCCTGTTGGTGGCGAGCGGTGCACGATCACTCACTTCCTCCGCGCGAGACGGCAGTGGCCCAAAAAAAAAAGAACACAGGGCATGTACGCACATCTTCATCTCTCTTGTATGTTTGTTTGTGCTGAAAAGTCCTTCCTTTGCTTGCTGCAGCCAGTGCGCGGTATGTGCGTTTGTTCACGAGACTATTGATAGTGGTGGTGGTGGTAAGACCTGCATGTCATGCATGCTGTTTCAGCATGCACCTATGGATGAGCGTGTAATTCTCCGCACTGCGTGTATGCGCGCCTTTGCTGGCTTGCTGCTGGTCGACTTTGTGCACGGTCTCACACGCCCGTCATTCAACATTGCAAGCCACACGATTGGCCCGTGGGGGATTGAAATGGGTGTCGAAAAAAAAGCGAGCGGGAAATAACTCCGGGATGTTGGGTGGTCTCGGAATCTCTGATCTCTTGCTGCTACGGTCTGTCGTTCTCTCCCCAGAGATCCAGCGTGGATAGCTCACGATCTTCGGGTCTGCGTATACCGAGGTGCCCAGTGCAACGGGCATTGTTTGTGAGAGCTAAAGGCGTGCTCGTGTGTCGGTCTTCTCTGCCTAGCCTCCTCTCCGCCGCCGTTTGAACTTCGATTTGAAAAAACACTGTCGGGCAACGAACCCTGATCATCAAAAACCCTTTGGCTGTTAGTCCTGGAAGAGGGAACAAGTGTTTTCTGGCCGTCGTCGTCACTGCAGAGCACCAGCAGCAGTGAGTGTACGTCACGGCGGCAGCAGGGGGAAGGAGGAGGTGCAGTTTCGACCGTTGAGCAAGGGTGGTGCCCTAGTCCCTGCCCGCCTGCCACCGCCTGGGGCTGCGGAGTTGGTCGCGTTCCGTTGTCCGTAGCTTGTGTTTGGGAGCGTCGAAGAACGCAGAGCCTGCTGCATGCAGGCTGCCTCTCCGTATCTGTCCGATGATCTATGATGTTCCTTGGCCAGATTCGCTCCTCTTTGGCTGGAGATGTTTTCTCCAAAAAGGCTATATTTTCTGACGACCACGAGCCTTGCAGTGGCAGTAGCCGTTTCACTTGAAGAATGACTGTCCGGGGGGGATCCGTGACATGTATGTTCTGGAGGGTCATTGGTTGATCGTTGGAGACCACCGATTGTTTTTGGAGGTTCGCACACACTTGCCCAGGGTTTTAGGTCCGCCGCCCCGCCTGGGTCTGCGATCGTACGCAGAAAACTTTTGCACCCCGGTTGAGGTGCCGCTGCCGCAGTCCCCACTCTCCACCCCTCTACCCGTGCTGGATCCAGTACCGAGCCTACGCCCTTCGCGACTTGCCCGATCCACTTGCCGCGCCTTGCCGCTGGCGCTCTGCGCGCGTGACTGCGTGCTGAGAAATATAAGAAGAGCAAGGGCAAGAAAAATAAGCAAGCGCGGATCATATGGCCGCGCGGTCTTCAGCAGCAGCAGCTACAACAACACCCCACCAAGAGTACCACCGCAGCCGAGAAATGCAACTCCACCATGCTGCTACCGTTAGACCGGATCAGCATGGGTACTCCCTAGGCCACTCGCATCAGACCGGGCCCTACCCGATGCACTCGTTCTCAGGGCCGCCGTCTTCCTCGGTGGCAGGAGGCATCGACCTGCGGTCGGCCCGCGACTCGGGCTCGACCGGAGTTTTTTTGCATCCCGGCACCAGCGGCGACGGCGGCGAGGCGGTTAGAGCTCTGGGTAACAACATGGGTGTCATGTCTGCGGCTTCTCCTCCTTCCGCTCCCCCTACCTCCCGAAGAGACGGCTACCCGGACGTCGCGGTTGCCAGGCAGTGCGAGCGAGAGGGGTGTAATGTGCAGCCCTCCTATGGCAAGGTCTGGAAGAAGGTGAGTCGTTGCGAAATCAATCGGGGTACACCCCCAATACAAAGAACGAGGGGCACACGTTCTCTCTTTCCTGCCGTCTCTCCAGGAGCGCTCGATGGAGACTTGTGTAGTAGAGCCATCTCAAAACCCACACGGCTAAAGGGAACGGGCGAGCGTTTAGGCACTTGTGACGGCGCGGGAACCCCCGTCTGTACCCCCTGTCTGTTGCGAGTTTGTGGAAGAGAGAGAAATGTCACGCGCCGCCGTTCAGCCAAATGCCAGCGCCAAAGACGCTATTTTCCTCGTCTCCCTTGGGTGTTCGCATATTCCTCCTTTCGTCCCGACCCTTTTTCCCTTCCTTTTGCCAAGTCCTGCTGCGCGCGTGTGTGTGTGGTGCGGGTGTATTTGTATATCGATCCTACAACCACGCGGCGTGTTGGCACACGCCAGTAGCAGCAGGAAGCGTATTCTCTGTCTTCACCTTGGCGTGGTCGTCTACAGCACAGAGTTCCCTCTCCCTCTTCCCCTTCCTTCCGCCTTTCTTTGTGAAAACATGAAATGCTGCGGCCCTCGCTTGTTTGCGGTTATTCTAGACACAACGGGCGGCGTACTGCGTCCTCTCTGCTGCGTGCTGTTCCTCCTTCATGTCGGTCAACGGCCAGCGGAAGTTGGACCTCGTGTGCCCCACCCCCATCTCGCGCGCGCGTTGCGCAAAGCTCTGCAACTCCCACACGCATCGCACGTACATCCAAACTGGCTCTTCCTGTTTGCCCGGGTCCAAGTCAACATTTTTGAAATCACAACGAACACCTCTCGTCGCGCGCGGAAAAAAAATCAGCCTTCTGCTAGCAGCAGAGAGGAATATACATAAAAGATGCCGCGGCAGACCATTGAGATATACAGTCATTTTTGGGGGGACCCTGCGGCCCAGCCGTTAGCGTCCAGAAGCCAGTAGCGCTGCTGAACTCAGTGAAGGGACGTTGTGTGTTCATATGCATACGTGAGCATTTTTTTTTTTGGTCGCGATCCTCCGAGAGAAGTCATCACGGACGGCGGCCACCACCAACCTGAGAGAGAAACGCGCAAGTAAATTTACGTGGTTGGTCTGGCGTTTGCATACCCACAGCAGAAAGGCGCTGACTGCGCGCCGCCGCCGGCCGCCTCAACACACATACAGCATCACCACCCCCCTGTCTTGAGTGTGACTCCGATACGTTTTGGGCGGTGGCGCGCCGGGGAAGAATTCCTTCATGGCCTGATTATTGGTACACGGACGTTCGGTTCTGGCCGTGCCCTTCTGGGTGGGGTTCGACTCGATGTGTGCGGAGTTGATGCACCGCGCGCACAGCAGCAGCCGTAGTGGTTACGTGAGGCGTGCAAAATGTAGGTAAATTACTTTTATTTAGAGTCAAAAACATGCCATCCGATGTTCGAAGACGGGGCACAAACGACAACGAGCCGCCGTCGCTTTTTTTTTTTTTACGTAACGGGTGCATATGCATGTGCATGCCTGTGCCCGCCCCTATGTGCTGATTTTCTGCGTGTTTCTTTCCCCCGTGCCCTCGATTTTGCGGGGAAAATTGATCTTGGCATGCGTACCTGTGCACCACCATGTCTTACCTTTTGAGCGGCGCGCCTGTGGAACCAAACGCGATTGCACAGCAGTCGCAGCGCTCACGCCGTCGGTTGTCTATCGAGCCGATGAACCAACCGTTCTTGGAACCGTCTCGGCACCCGGCACTCCTTGGTTTTGCGGGAAAACGCGCACAGACTGACACGTGCGCAGCAGTAGAGTAGCTTGCCTTCTCACATTGCCCGGCACGCTCCGGCGGGGGGCTTTGGTGTCCTTTACCAACGTTTATGCAACCAAGTTACACGCTTTTCAGGCGCTGGATCCCTCCAGAAGCTGTCCAACAACGTTTCTTTGCGTGTCCCAGCTGCAGTAGAACCATTTTGGTCTCGTCGATGGCACGCCGGTACTTGCCGCCGGACGTCTGTTTTGTCTTCCTCTCCTCCCGGACTCAGTACTTCTTTTTTGTTCCCTTTTTTCTTCCGGGGTTGGTTTTCTGGGGGAGGCCTCAGCACGGTCAGTCAAGTTGATGTTTGTTTATGTCTGCGCCAGGAGAACGTTGCGCTCGCTTGATCCATGAGGGCGGGCTCTCTCTCCGTCTGCGCCACTTGTGCGCTCGCCCTCGTGGCTAACACGCTACTCGCCCTCTCACTTGCTTTCATAGATCGGGTCAACCGGGGCGAAACCCCATTTTCGCGAGTCCGCGGCCTTGGTTTCGAAACCCGCTCTTTTCGACTCTTAAGGACCACTAAGTTATCGCCGCCGGCTCCTCGATAACTCGAAAGCCGGACGAAAACAAGAAGGCACTTGCGTCTGAGTGCGCCAGGCGCGCTTGTTGCTTCTTGTGGGCGGCAACGCCGGCCTCCGGATGTCGCCGCCGCCGCCGCATGGTCCGCGCTCCGACGCATGGCTCCCGCTCTCGCGCCCTTCCCTTGCCCTTCCCCGTTCTCCCACCGCCGCCGACGCTGTCTCTTTCCGTCCTACCAGACCTGACAGCGGTCGTACAGCATATCTTTTCCTTGGCAGCTCTCTTTTAGCGTCCTTTGCTAGCTTGGCCTCGACACTTGATACTGCTTCTCGGACTAATTTTTCTCCTACTTCTTGTTTTCTTTGATGGTGCCGCCCCGCCCCGCCCCGCCCCGCCCGCGCTCTGCTTGTGCGTTGTGCGACGACGACGATGCCCCGGCTACCACATTCGCCACCACCACGACCAAAAATTGCAATGTTGCACTATAGCCGCGGTTCTGCGCCAGGCACAAGCTTCCCGGCATGATGGACGTCCGGAACCGGCGGTGTGAGGAGCCCAACTGCACGCGCCAGCCGTCCTACGGCAAGGAAGGGCAGCGGAGACAGTTCTGCTTCACTCACAAGAGAGAGGGCGACGTTGACGTTAAGTCCACGAGGTACAAAAAAATATTGCTTTCAAAGTGAACCATCTTCCTATTGTATGTAGCTGTCCCCCCGTGTTGTCGTCGCGTTGGTGTGTCCCCTTTTTACGGGCCCTCGTCTTTGCACCGGGGTAGCTCCCTCACTAGGGTGCCGGATGAGTTACGGACGCCAGCTAAACCCGCGACACGTGTGGTCTGGTGTTGAATGTTCTGTTCTGGATGGTTCCCGTTGCACACGTTGCTGGCACGGCAGGGCTGCTGCTGAAGTATACCGGTTGATTTTCGTCGTAGGGGTGTTTGTAGGTCATTGACCGTGTGTCCTCTCGGCGACGGACCGTTGGTGTTGGTGGCCTACTCTAGGATTTGCTGTGGGGCGCGGCCGGGCCTGGCACATACATGTGCTGCTGCTGCTGCTGCTGCTGCTGTTTCGGTTTCTGTCAACCAGTGTCGACTTGTTTCCTCGCCATTTTAGCCAACAGGTTGTTGTTCCTAGTCCCCTCCTGTAATGTTCTACTTCAACCGTGGAGGACTCGTGACGACGTTGGTGGAACCAACAAGAGCTCTTCGCTGTTTTGTTGTCATTGGCCCACGTTGTACTTACGCGCCAAAAGATGGAGCGCTCACCTCACCCTCCCGCCCTGCACGCCCACCCCCACCCCACGTCCTCGCAGATGTAAGAGCACCGGGTGCCCGAAGCACGCCATGTACGGACGCCCCGGCGAGATGCCGCAGTACTGCTCCGCCCACAAGGCGGAAGACATGGTGGACGTCAAGAAGCGGCGCCGATGCAACGCCGACGGCTGCGAGCGCCGCGCCAGCTATGCTCTCGACGGGGAGAAGGCGGCGTTTTGCTCCGCCCACAAGCAGGCCGGGCACGTGAACGTCAACAACAGGAGGTGCGTTTGGTGTGCGTGTGTCGCGAGACCGTTTGTTGGTCGTCCTCTACGCGCTCGTGCCGACTCCAACCGACCGACCAATGAGCAGGCCTGCGTTCGACCTGCCATCGCCTTTGCACGTGGCGAGGAGGAGACCATTTGGTGGTGATGGCAATTTTGGTCCTGTCCGCATCGTGTTGCAGAGTGTCACCTGCTCTGTGCGTGTCTCGCTCGCTCGCTCCTGTTTTTTGTCCTCGAAGAAGTGGGGATGGAAATGGATTAATTTTCCCAGCAGTGTCTCATTCCGACGAGAGCCTCACCTGCCGTGTGCCCCCTCCCGTAATCGTCCGGTACCTCAGGTGCGAATTCCACGGGTGCTCTCGGCGGCCGGTGTTCTCCTTCCAGGGCGAGAAGCCTCGCTTCTGCCTGGCGCACAAGCTGGACGGCATGCAGGACAGCCGCCTCAACGCCGAAGGCCGCGGCCGCGGCAGGGCTGGGGCCGCTAGCCGCCCGTCTCAGGTGGCGGCGGCTCAGCAGCGAATCTACGGCGGCCAGAACGCCGGCGGCTACGGCCGTGGAGGCGGCGGCGGTGTTGGTGGCCGCAGCATGGCCAACGGCAACATGAGAGGAGGAGGTGCTACCGGCGTGAACGGCGACATGATGTTCGGCGCGAGGGCCAACGGCGACATGAAGGGCTCGATGCTGTCGCACGGGGGCGGGGGCATCGGCGGGCCCCACCGCAACGTCCAGGAGCGGGCGACGGCGGCGCAGGCAACGGCCAGCGCGGCGGCGGCGGTCATTGCCGCCATCGAGGACGGGGCCCGCCTTGACTCCCGCGGCCACGCGGTGCACGGCGTGTACAGGAACGGCGGCGGCGGGTTCCGGGAGAGCGAGGTCGACATGTACGAGAGCCTCCAGCACGGCGGCGGCTTCGGCGGTGGCGGCGGTGGCGGCGGTGGCGGCGGCGGCGGGAGCATGGCCCGGCCGAAGACCGAGCCCGCCTGGGCGTCCGCCCTGTTCAGCTCGGAGGGAAGGGACGGCAACGGCGCCGGCTCGCTGGACTCGAGCCGGCCCTCGTCCGCGGGGATGGCGCCGCCCCACGGCTACGGCGAGGTCTGGCAGTCGGCACCGTCGAGGACGGGAGGAGGGGCCGGGTCGCCCCCTGTGGGGTCGGCGGCGTCGACGTTGTCGGACGTGTCCAACGGGTCTGCCGCCGTCGGCATCGTGAGCAGCCGCGAGATCAACGAGGCGGAAATGTACCACCGAATGGCGAGCGCATCCGCGCCCATGGACGGCGGCGGTTCGGGACGTGGTGTGTTGTCCTCGCAGCACTACTCCGACGAGCGCAACAACCGGGGTTTCCTGAACGGCCTCACCAACAACGGCGGCGGCGGCGGCGGCGGTGACTTCGTGTCGACCTTCTCCTCCCAGCAGGGCAACACCTGGCAGGAGGACGACGGCAGCGGGAACGGCGGGCCCGCCGACCTGCAGTGGGAGAGGGCGGAGAGGTCGCGTCCCCGCCCGCCGCCGCTGCCCGCACCGCTTTCCCAGCAATCGGCGTCGTCTTCCGGGTGGGGCCGGCCCGTCGGGGCCAACTCGGCCGAGATGCACCGGCACGGGGGGGGCGGGGGGGGGGGCATGATGCACGCGCCCCCGCAGCAGCAGCGCCTGCCGAGCATCTTGGGCAGCCGAAGGGGTGGCGGCGGCGGGGGGGCACCTATCATGGGTGCCGCTGTGGGCGGCGGCATGGGGGGCTTCCCCGGAGGAGATGTTCGTGACGGAGCGGGGTACGACATGAGGACGGGCCGAGAATCCGTGTGACGGGGTCTCTCATGGTTTCACACGGCGCAGGCCGTGTAGAGCAAAGTTCGTGCGGTGGAACCGATGAGGTATGGTATGATCACGCACCACGGATCGTGCGACAGGACGGGCCCTGATCCATGGAAGAAGGACGGTCAAAAGCCCGCGAGGTGGATGATGAACGACTGACCCATGAAATAGAGCATGGCCCGGTGCGTTTTTTTTTATGGTATTTTTCAGCGGCAAGACAAGACGACGCCGACGCCTGTTTTGCCAGGGGAAGCGATACAGAAAGCACGCGTGGGCGTGGAGTGCTGCAGAGAGCGATGGCAAATATTCGGTGACTGCAACGCTCTCGGCCGCGCACGAGTAAGAGTCGGACGGCGTCCGGACACCGGAGGGGTTTGCCGTGACGTGTGATGACTGCTGGTACATATGTAGGGCAGGAAGCGTTCAAAGCGCTTGCACAGCAGTGTGACGTGATCGGATAGGCGGCGAGAGGGCGACAACGATGACGGATCCCGATATATGCGAGAGAGCAAAGTTTTATACCTGAATGGAGGTTAGCTTGTTGAACTAAAAAAATGAGGAGTGATGTTTCGCTTGTAGGCGTGCACGTGGTGAGAAAAGGTTGTATTTTTTCTTGTGGTGTGCTTGGTTGCCCTCTCATTTTTTCCAGCCAACCCCCAAGACGTTGGCTCATGCTTGGGGGGGGCGTGAATTGGTTTGAGAGAAGGGTCCTGAACGACAAGTCAAGAGACCTGTGCAATTTTTTTTTGTCTTTTCATCATTAATTTATTTTTGGCGTTTCTCTGGTAACAACAGCGGTAGCGTGTATGTTTTTCTCGTTTTGTTCGGGCGGCGGGGTCTTGGCCAAGCGCGCCGGTAGCGGCAGCAGCAGCATCACCACACGCAACAGCAGTCAGGTATATTTAGTTTGTCGGAGAGATATGTACGTCTACGTCTAGCATTCACGATAGTTGTTTTTGAAGGGGGGGGGGTGTACCACCGAACTGCTTGGTCAGTGCAACGTGTGCGCGAACCTTGCCTTTACCGCTGTAGATGACGCCACCAAGTCGGGCGGCGACAGGGGTACTTTGTGGTAAGCGGAGCCCCCCCGCGCTCCTCCCCCAAGGCAACCCTGTTCCTTTCGTGTCTAGAATGGTAGCATACGGATTTCCTGTGTCATATCTACAGGTGTGCCTTCATCGTGCTTGCTCTTTTACAGCCCCCATTATTTTCGCGGCGGTCTTGCGGTGTTTTTTGTTCTTTTTTTTTTTTTGCTTTTTTTTCCTGAGTTGTGCAAACGACGAGGCTCTTTGGGTGACGAGTGGATTTCTGAGGCACAGTTGCACGACAAAGAGAACAAGAAAACCAACGCTTGTTTTTCCTCACCAAGAGGCAAGTAAGACACATGGTACGTACGTGTACGCAACATACCAAGTCGCTGTTAGTTTAATTTCTTCATGGCGGTTGAGAGTTTTGTGCTGTTTTTTCTTTCGGGCCAGACGGCTGGATGTGGATCTGGTGTGTAGTCGTAGCCATCGTCGTGTCTGCGATGCGCAAACTCTCTGCATTGTGCTGTTGTATGTGTTGTGGCATCGTGCGAGGTGGTACAATCTTCCCATGAAGTACCTACCCAGTGAGGTATGCCGATGCCGCTTGCTCTCGCGAAGAGAAAAAGTGAGAATGAGAGACACGCACGGGGGGCCTGTGCGGAGGCGGGGGGTACCGAAAGCATGGTAATCCTTGGGTGTCGTACTATAGGTCACGTCGTTGGGTACATGCTGTAACCAGGGGAGGGAGGGGGGGCGGGGGGATCTTGGGCGGGTGGGGTGGATGCATTGATGGGTGGATATCTCGGCCACGGTTGTGAGGATCTTGTGGAAACACGGATGCCGTGGTTGGTAGTTAAGTTCGACAGGGTACGGAGGGTGGGCGAGAGACGAGGAACAAGGGTGAGAAGGGGGGACTCTTGTCTATCTATTACCAATAATTTGTTGTGATGGTCTTTTATGGTTTTGTTTTGCATTCTTTTCCATGTGTTTTGTGATGCTAATGGGCTGGCTGGCTCCTGCGGTAGTGTTACTCGTGCGGTGAGGAGGGAAATCTGGGGATAGGGGGGCATGAAGTTCATATCCACCCCGCACTTGTCCCCGCCATGAGTTGGAAGGCGGGCGGTGGCGCGCGGACGGGCTGTGGGTGAGGGTAGGTCCAATAATGTTTGCCGTGCCCCCCCCCCACGCCCCCACCCTTTTTTTTTGCACATTCTTCGTTTAGGAGTATTTTTTTTTTCCCTCGGAGATTCGTGAGAGGCAACACTTTGTTAGTGTTTCACGTCTTTTCTCGCTCCTGTTGCTGCTGTCTGCCTGCTGGTGTCTAGGATAGAAAGAAAAGAGAAGGGCCAACACGTGTACATGAGATCAAGAAAGGTCTCCTGTTTGCATACGGCGCGCCTTTTGCCCGTGTGTTGTGTGTTTGCGGAGGACGGTAAGCATGGCGACAGACATGGCGGCGGTGGATTTTTCTGCCGGCGTGAGCGGCAACACGGATCAATACGACAAGGTTTAGTTGAGTCACTCGATAAACTTACGAAGCGTACAATACAATTTGTTTACGGTCTGTCTTGGGAACACTGATTGATTGATTTTTGGGCGGAGGGTGATGGTGGCGCCTCTGTGCTGGGAAAATCGCGCGTTGCGCCAATATGTGTGTGCATGGGCTTTCGACGGTTTATACTACTTACCTGTTTTAGTAGGGTGTTCGTGTGTCGCGATAGGAAGTAGGCTTTGGGGGGAAAGGGTGCGTGAAGGCGAGAGATTCGATTCGGAACCGGTTTAAGATGCATTCAAGAGCGTTTTTCTTCGCTGTCTGGCTATGACTAACACCTGCGCAAGACACAGGGGACACCCCGCCGGTACAATAGCGGCGCCGGCGCATGCAGAAGGATTGTAAAATATCAACGTGTTCAATTTTCGGGTACTGGTGCGGCAAGTAGGCGAGGATTTCGTGGCCCCTGTCGGGTGTCGGATTCATGTGTGTTGTATTTTTATATGTAGCCGGTGTTGTTTTGCTTTTCTTGACGAGCTTCTTACCCTCCGGGCAAGATCCTTGTAATACGACTGCACTGCTGCTCCCTTTCCAACGCAGGCGGCACCCGCTGTAGTCGCGGGGGTTCTCGCGGTTGCCGAGGCACGGCACGAAAACAAAACGAGAAAAGTAAGTTTGGAGGTTTGTCCTATTTAGTACAGTAGAGGTCCCTGTTTAGTGCCGGTTGCCGTTATTGTGCCGGTGTTTTCGGCTCGCACACACTGGAATACCAAGTCGTTCTCTACTTCGAATAGTGCCGGTGTCCGGTTTAGTGCCGGTGAAATTTCGGTGCATACCCCGGCACTAAATAGGGACCTCTACTGTGTACTGCTGCAGCAGTAGTAGGCGGATCGGGATGGATATTATTTTTGGATTGATTTGGTCGGTTGCGTGTGTTTTTTTTTAATATATTAAAGGACGGTCATTAGAACGACGAGAGGCGGCAGCAGGCGGGGAAGGACAGAAGGAAAGAAAGAAGGAAACATTGATTATTGAACAAGTCTGGGGCCCTGTGTTGATGCTCATCTGTTTTACTGCGTGTTGCTCCGCCGGGTTTCATCTGCGGCGCGGCTTTCTCGCCTCCTGCTTGTTGTGCCAGGAGCTGCGACAGCGATAGAAGTGACTAAACAACAAAGAGACACATACATTTTCTGTTGCGCTCACGAGCCAGTCGGGCGGGCGGGATTATTATTAACTGCTCGAAAACGGGCGCAAGAAAAGATGAACAGAGTAATCTAGTAGCATTTCTTGTTTCCGTAGAACATGGCATTGACGTGCGGTCTCCAGGAAGTGGTATTATTGTACTTTTGGAAGGAGTGCTTGCTGCCTGCATTTTTTTTGTCCGTTTTCGCGTTCGCTCTTGTTGCTGTGTGTTGTTGATGCTCCGTCGTTCGCCGCCCTCGTTCGTCACACGCAGCTGCAAACCCAGCAGTAGAAACCACATACTTTCTCGCTCGAAAACGTTAACTCGCAAGCGCCGAGGAAAGTGTTGTTTGTGTGGAAAAAAAGCACGCGAGAAAGAAAAAAATAAATTAAAGAGAAAGAACAATTCAAGGGGAGGCGGCGCGGGGGGGAGGGGAGGGGGGTGGGCCGAGGTTGGGGCGGCCGGCAACTTGCAGCGCTACTGCTGTCCTGCTTGCTGCTGTTGGATTTGTTCCGCCGTGGTTGATTGCAGCCAGTTTTCTATTTAATTATGTCAAGTTAAATACTAGTACTGTTTTTCTTGATGGCGGGCATGCATGATCATCCGACGGACTTGTTTTAGCTTCATCACCACCACGGTTCCGAAGAACGGTATTGATTTGTCCACCGTGCACTCGCGAGAAACGTGCGCGCGATCAAACAATTACATTTTCCTTTTTGTCCCCGCCACCCCCGTGTGGTGGGTGCGTGTCGTGCATATCTTGTTGCCCACGGGGAAAGGGTGCGAAAATCCATCATATAAATATTACGACGGGCAAGTTGGGAATGGTGCTGGGAGGAGGTCGCACGACAAGCCTGGAATGTATCGTGGCGTTCGTTGGACAGCAGGAGTTAGTTCCTACCCACCTCGCATTGGTTTGACTTTCCTTCTCGAAGCTTTTGGTAGCGCTGGGTTGGGATCCTCACTTACTTGCACAGGCAGTCAGTGTGTCCACCACAAGCGACAAGAAGATCGCAACGAGTGGTTTCTGCTTTTTTCGCGCATTTTTTTTGCCGCAACAAGCGCCCCCACTCGAAAGAAAGGCAGTCAGTCATGGGACCACGAGAGAACGTTCTTCAGCCAAGAGGTAGAGAAAGAGAGAGCAAAATGCGATTGGCTAGTACAAGCAACATCCCCCCGCACCCCACACCGACCACGTCGCCCACCGACACAGCAGTGAGACAATATTACTATCAAGTCTAAGCATGAACAACCGCCGCCCGCCCCACTCCCTTTCTTCTCCTCGGGCCAAAAAAATAGAATTATAATTTTTGTGGGCTTACCGACATGGACTACCGACAATCTTAGTAATGTCCCCCCGCA